TCTCTGGCCAAGGAGCTCTCCAGGGGCTCCAGAACAGACCCCAACCCCAAAGCCCCCTCCCTCCGACAGCTAGTGGCTGTTTCTGCTTGTCCTGGGAAACTGCCCACAGGCCCTGCCCTAATGGAGGGGACTAGGTGGGCAGTGGGTGAACTGGGAGCCTCTTCTGAGGGGTGGGATCCCAGTGCCCTGAAGGGGAAAAGTTCATGGGATCCAGCCCTTCTCAGGGACACTCTGCCTGCTGACCCACTCCTCTACTCGTTGCCGAATACCTTATGCCACCAGACTGGAAATTCTAGACCTAGAAAACCTAGAACTACGCCGTCTTCGGTCCGATCAAAGTATAGTATATAAAATCATACATTGCAATGCCCTACCAGTCAATGAATACTTCAGCTTCAACCATAACAATACAAGAGCACACAATAGATACAAACTCAAGGTAAACCGCACCAAACTTGATTGCAGGAAATACGACTTCAGCAACAGCGGTCAATGTCTGGAATACTCTACCTGACTCTGGGGTTTGCAATCATGACCTCTTGTGCAATCATGACCTCTTTGCAATCATGACCTCTTGTGTTAGTTAGTTAGTTTAGTTTACTTTATTGTCATCACACCTCGTACAACAAATCAAACACCATCTTCAGGGCACATCATGACCATGAAAATAAACACAAACACACATCCTTCACACCACATTGAATGGAAAACCCCCCCGACACCACACCAACACTGCACTATACAGCAGAATTCAACAGAGCTACTGCCCTGGGATAGAAGCTGTTTTTCAGCCTATTTGTGCTTGTTTTTATTATCCTGTACCGTCTGCCAGATGGTAATTGTCATGCCCCTGTTGGAATCTGGTTCTGAGGGGGAGGTCGAGCAGCTGACAGGGAGTGGGAGTGTGGCTCCGGTGGCTGTGGAGGAAATTGGGGAAGGGCACAGTCCGGCTGGGCATTCAGAGGAAGACCTAGGGCCACCCGCTCTTCATCTTAGGGAATGCAGGGAGGAACAGAGAAGGGAGCAACATGAGTTACGTGGTTTATGGGGGAGGAAAGGACCCTGATCCCCTTGATTAGCTGCAGCTGGGAAAACGGTTTAAAAAGGCAAGCTACACACAGCAAAGTTGCTGGAAGCAAAGCGTGCATTATCTTTGTTTGTCAAGACATATCTGGGTTCTGGCATCCTCCCAACTGTGTATATTTCATTATCTTTTGGAAGTCTGCAATTCCTTATCCTGTCCTGTTTCGTTAATTTCTGCAGTGTGGTTTGTGTTGGTTTTTATTTATAATTTAGATGTACTTTGGGTTTGGACTGAATTTCTTCCCTTTAAAAACTGTTCTTGGGAGAGTTTTTTCTCCAGCCGATGATAATTGGACATTGGGGGGGGGACAAGTTGGAGGAATTAAAGGGACTTTACCTACTTTTGTGACTTTGTTGCTTTTGTGCCACGGCCCTTTGGGTCATCACAGTAATAGTTCAAAAAAAGGATGCCCAGGATGAGGTGGATCTTTGGGGATGTTCTGAACTTTCTTAAAGCTCTTCCAAAGAGGGGAGAGGGCAATTGCATTCTATACAATTGATACTGTGTGTATATTGCGCTATACAGCAGAATTCAACAGAGCTCCTGCCCTGGGATAGAAGCTGTTTTTCAGCCTATCTGTCCTTGTTTTTATTATCCTGTACCGTCTGCCAGATGGTAATAGTTCAAAAAAAAAAGGGTGCCCAGGATGAGACGGATCTTTGAGGATGTTTTGAACTTTCTTGAGGCAGCGGGAGCTATAAAGCTCTTCCAAAGAGGGGAGAAGGCAACCCATGATCCTCTGGGCAATGACATTAGCCCTCTGGAGCGCCATCCTATCTGCCCCTTTGCAATTGGCAAACCCTACAGTGCCCTCTGGACCAAACCTTTGCATTGGAGCCTGTGACCGTCTCTGGTTCTGGGTGGTCTCACAAGGGAAATCTTCCGGGTGTGACTGTGACCCCCACACCCAGGCTGCTTGGGAGGGAAGGCGATGCTTCCAAGCGTTCTCTGGAAGGAACGTCCCATCCGGATGTGTTCTGAAGGGCAGCCACCTGGGGCCCATTCAAGGCTACCAACAGTCCGTGCCGTCCTCCTTCGAAAGCTTCCTGGACAAGGGTGGATTCACCTGGAGGAACCTCCAGAGGATAAAAGGGGCAAGGGGCGAGGCTGAGCAGCCAGAGGGGGCAAAAGGGTTGCAGCCATGAAGCTTCTGCTGGGCAGCCTTCTCTTGGCTGGGGTCTGCTGGCTGGGAGCCGCAACGAACTTCCGCACGATGCCACACTTCGATATGCAAAGGGTCAGAGCTGGGAATCCTGGACGGAAGTTCTTTTCCTCCCAACTCTAGGTGGAAGAGGGCCCCAGGTGGGGAGGGACGGGCTCTTAAGTCCCCGGTGCTCTCTGGGCTGGCTGGCAGACATTTCCCAACCCAAGTAGGGAACATCATCAGTCCTGCAAGGGTTGGCTCTTGTTACAAATGGTATAGGGGAGATTATGGGGTTCTGGGCTCAGGGTACGGCCCAACGTTTGGGAGGAGAAGCCTCCATTGCTGTCTCTCTCCTGGTCTTCCCCACTGCCAGATTTTCGCCCCATTCCTTTTGTCCGGGTCTTTGCTGTTTCTCCGGGATTCAGAACCTTCTTGTGGTGGAAAGCAGGAAACTTTTGGACCAGGGTCACGAATGCTTCCGCCAAGGGGGCCTTGTTGGTTAATGGACTCCGCTTCTGGGTGCTCCTGGAAGGATTTGGACTTTGGAGCCCCCTCACCTTCAGCCCTAAACAAACTCTCCCGGTTCCTCCTTCTAGATTGCCGGGATATGGTTTCCTCTGGCAAACATTGTGATTGAACTGCAGTCCCCCCCATATACATTAAAGGTCATAGCGGGGCGAACTCTGGCATACAACTATCAGTTCCATCTGTAAGTTTTGGGGGGCTTAACACCCTCGCTGGCCCGGCCTCCCTTCCCCCCCTGAGGGCAGGTGGGGGAAAGGCGGAAGGAAAAGGGCTTATGACTGGGAACCCTTCCATGCTTTGAAATCCCATATCGGCACAGGGGTCTGGGGTCCAGTTAACAGCTGCAGCACTTCAGCCAAAGGCTGGCTCCCTCCTCCCCCTCCCAAAAAACAACCCTCGCTAAAGGTTGGTGTGCTTCCCTTTCCTTTTCAGTAACGGCAGATGCATTCCAAAAGAGCTCAAGTTTGTTGAACAGCGAACAGCAGGCGAATTCAAGACCCTAAGTAAGTGGCGAACTCCCTCCTTCCTTCATCCGACTCGCTGAGTGGCGAGTTTTCACAGCCCTCCCCCTGGGGGTGGGATTCTACTGGTAGCTCTGAAGAGCAGCAGACACAGAACCAATGTCTGCTGCTGTTTTGGCCCACCTGGGCTCTTACCTGTCCTTTATTTCCTGCTTTTTTCAACCGCAGCTGCTTTGCGCGGCACAGCGGCCGTTGAAAAAGCAGGGGGAAAAGGGGGGGCTTTCCCAACCGCTGTGCACTTGCATGCAGTGCTGCTCAGCTGCCTGGGCAGCTCAGCAGGTCGTAAATTGCATTTGCACGACTCATGCGTGCGCGACGCCGAGCAACAGAACCGGTAGTTATACCGGTCAGATCCCATCCCTGCCCTCCCCTCCCCTCCCTTCTTGGAGGATCGGGGCCGCCACCCACCTACCCCATCAGGAGGGGATCGCAGCTTCTCCAGGGACAGCGGGCAGCGCTCGCAGGGCTCCTGCCCGAGGCCAGGGGGTGATTTTAAACAAGCTCTCTTTTGCGCGGAAGGCCCCACTTTCGTTCAAATACTAGATACGGACTATAGGACCTACTGCATCTCTTACATTGAACGAGGGATGGATGCCTTCCTGACGCTTGCTGGTAAGAGACCTGGATTTGGGTGGGGGGGTTGGTCGGGAGACCCCCTTGTCTCGCCCTTCCCGAGGTTGCTGGCATCCAAGGGGGGACCCTCTCCCTTGGCTTCTCGCCCCCAACCGCCATCTTTGGGGTGCCAGCTGGGACCTCCTGGTGAGGCAGGTCCCCTTCCCCTCTCCTGCCTCTCCCGCAGCACCTCTGCCCTAAGGGAAGCCCCTCCCTCCTAGGCCTCTCCCCTCCGGTTGTCTCCATCCCTCCCCAGCAGTTTAACCAGGGGATTTGGGGGGGCAAAGCTGGAGCCCCTCAATCTTCACCCTTGCCTCTAGGCAAATGGAGCAGGCTGACGGAGGATCTGACGACCAAATTCAGAGAGTATGCCACCTCTGCAGGGGTCACAGGACAGATTAGACCCGTGGTCCAGAGAGGTAACCCTTTAGTCCTTGGCACCACCACTTCTGGGCTCAACGGGGCATCAGGGAAAGTCTTCTCCTCTTCTTCTTCTTCCCCCTCCTCCTCCTCCTCCTCCTCCTCCTCCTCCTCCTCCTCCTCCAATGACCAACTCTTCTCTCTTCTCTCCTCCATAGTAAACTGCTAAGAGCTCAAGACTCAAGGTGGTGAAGACTCAGGGCAGAGAGGGGTCCTCACTAGCTAACCCCACCCCCCACCCCGGTTGGGAAAGGAGGAAGACCCCATCTCTGCCCAAGGGGCCTCTGTTGGTGGCTGCCTTCCTGCCAGCCAGAGGGCAAACGCCAAGCCTTGCTTGTCAAATAAAGCGTAAATAAAACTCAGCAAGCTAAACAGTTCTATGCGTGTTTCCTCATTCCTCTCCTGTGGGTCAAGTGGTCCTTCCTCCGTGACGGATTTCACGATTAAGGAGGGACTATAATTGTAACAGCTGCACACAGAAACGAAGACAACTTTGGCGCATGCAAAATGACCTGGACAGGAATCTCCCTAGTTTCCCTCTTGCCTTTTGGTCCAATTTCCCTCCAGGCCACTCTTCCCCATTAAGAGAGCTTCCCCCCTCCCCGCCACCAGCCCCTCCCTTCAGGGCAAGCTTAAACCAGGGCGGATGGCTAAGTTCAAGGGTGGGGGAATTTCCACAGCTGGAGTGCCAGGAAGAAAGGGGGCCCCTTGCCTCCTTGTGCCAGTCCTAGCATTCTTCATTCACATCATGCTCCTCCTGCCTTATAATAAGGGGTGGGGGTGGTGGCTAAATTTGGAAGAGGTCAGATTCAGGAGCCCCCGGCGTCTCTGCCTATGAGCCTCTACTCATTGCTTCCTAAACTACTTCCCAGTTTTGCTTCTGGACAGGTAGAAGGTTTGGAACGAATAACCAGTTGTTGTTTTTTCTCTTCGTGAAGCTTCATTTCCTATCTCCAAAGGGGTGACGATGTTGTCTGTGCTCCTCAGAGTCCACCTGCCTGCTGCTCACCTGGGCAGGTGGACTTCTCTGCCTCTCTGCAGGCTGTGGTCATTCGGCAGAGGAGGAAGAGAGCTGCTTGCTTGCCAGCTCTCTTCCATCTCTTCTTTCGTGGCGCCAGCTGGGCTCTGCCTGCCACCTGCCCTGGGCCCTTTCTGGCTTCTATTTGCGGAGGATGGAATTGAAGCGGCTCCTCTGTTGATCCAGGCACCCTGACCTCACTTGCTGACGGCTCAGCAGAGTGCGGGCTTAAGGTTTTTATTCTGGGGAGAGGGCACAGATTAAACTGCTCCAAAGCCAAGCCACAGCGGGGGAAATTGGATCAACACAACTATCTAGAATAGGGAATCTCTTCCTAGTGGTGCTCTTTCTCGGATGGTTGGTTGCAAGCAGAATCGGACTTCCAATTCGGAGTTTGCCACCAAGAGTCCAATGGCCAAAATTGTGCCACACTTCAATCTGGGCTCACACGGGCACCAAGTAAACAACCGCACGGTGATTTCCCTGATTCCTGATTTTGTAGAAGTGTGAGCAACATGGCCGAAGAATTAAAAGCAACAGGGGAGGGAGAAGGTTTGATCAGGTCCTTCTGAATCCCATGAAGGAAATGGTCTGATTTCAATCCAGGGTTGGAGATGGTTTTACTTTGCCAACCTTCTTGGAAAGGGAGGGAGGGCCAGGGTGGGCTCCCAGGGCAGACCTTGCAGGCGGTAGATTCCCTTGGGGGGGGGGGGAATGGTGGTATTCTGACCCAGGCTTTGTCAAACGTACTTAAACTCAAACTTATTTTAAAAGCAAAAACTATTTTATTGCAATGCTGGGAATGACTTGCGCTCCCAGTCAGAACTAATTATAAACAGTTCCCCAAGATAAGCACACTCCTTTCAGTGTTGTGGAATGTTGCCAAAAACAGAAGTATAACAGAACCCAACCAAAGTACCAAAAAAAACTAACCAGAGTACAAAGAGCTTCAAAGAGGACTTGGAATCTAATTGAACTGCTTTGCTTCCTGCAAAGCTTTCATCATTGAGGTCTGACTTTCATCCCTTGTGGGAGGGGTAATCACCTCCCAGCCTTACTCCTGAGTCACCCCTTTTGTTTCAGCTGCTCTCGCCTTCTAGCAGGTCTGCGCACACGCGCACTGGGAATAGGCTCCCCTCATTCCTCTGCCTCGCTGCTGTCAGATTCTGGAGGCTCCGGAGTCAGCACATAACTCCCAGATGGTCCCGACCCCATCCCCGCATTGGACGCAGGACCCTCATCTGAGTCCTCTCCAGCCTCCCTGACTGGTCCCCTTTCTTCCTCACTGTCCGGTTCTGCTGCCATCTGCACCGGCAGCCGGTGAACCACAACAGGTGGACTGTGGAGAGAAGGGGGGGGCTGCCCCTGGCCACGGACTGAATATTGGGGTTCCTCCGCTTGCTTCTGCCTTGCAGCTCCTTCTTTGGGCTGCCCTGGGACTCCTGGAGGGGCTCCTGTCTAAATGGGCTTTCGGGGGGGGCTTTGTTGGAAGGCCAGCTTGTGTCCAGTAGGGCTAGGCAAAGAGATGGGCTCGGACCGACCCTGGTCAGGTCCAAAGGCAGGAAGGGAAGAGTTTTATTGCAGTTCCCTCGGTGAAGGTTTCCAGATGGTCCCTGATATTCCTCCACCTTTTGCTCTCAAGTGGTGGGGGGGTGTAGGGCCAGGAAGCCCCTGGCCACCCCCAACCACTGATCCTCCGAGATCTCCCCCTCCCTCTTTCAGGTTTATTTCTTTCCTTGCTTTGTCTATTCAATTGATATGCTGCCCATCCTGGCTGGAGAAGAGTATGGGGTGGGGGGTAAGCTCTCCGTGCATGGATCTCAGTTTGGGACCCAGATCTCTGGTTCAGCCCGTGGGGAGATGGAGGGCAGGGCGGGAGGGGGGGGCTCAGAGGAAGGGGGTTCTCTGGGCTGGCACAGCAGGGAGGGATCTGCCCCTTCCCCAAATCTCCCTTGAGGTGGGAGGGCTTTTGCAGGAGAGGCCGTCCTGCCCTGCCCCACGGAGGGTGGGGGGAAAAGTCCTGGAGGAACAGCGGGGAGTGGCCCAGTGGGGCAGCCAGTCTTTTAACACCCCCTCCCCTTCATATTTCTCACCTCCCCCCATTTTTAAATTCAGGTCTGTCCCTCACTCCCCACCCCCCCACCCCGGCTGGATTGTGCCCCCACCTCCATAGTTCCATATCCCCCCAATGCAGAAAAAAAGTCCCATTGAAACCGAAGTGCATGAACTGAATCTATTTATTGAAATGTAGCATTTGAGTTAAGCCCAAAAGCCGCTTCTCCCAGCCGTTTCGAGGCCTCCACTCTGGTCACCTGCAAGGAAAGGAGCCGGGTGAGCGGAATCGGGGGGTGCTGCCTCTCCCAACCTCCAGCGCCTCCCCCTCCCCAATCTGCTTGGACACTTGGAGTTGCTCCTGACCCTCCTGGGCATCTGGGGACAGCTATGCGAGCTCCCTCCCCAGCCCCAGTTTTCATGCTGACAGGCAGTGGCCCATCGATGGTCAGCCGGGCAACCTGCTGGACACTGCCAGGAGCCCCCACCCCAATCCTGCTCCAGATGGACCCCTTTGCAGGGTCCAGCGCTCTGGAGAAGCGTCCTGCAGTCGGTGAAAGGGAGGGAGTTTTCCGAAGAGGACCACGGGCTCCAAGAACCGGAATCAACCTACCTAAGTGGAACGTGGGCACATCCCTGTGGAAAATGGAAAAGAGCAGGTTGAATGCGGGCAGGGCCCCTGGCCACGCAGCTGGGCCTCTGCAGAGAAGGGAGCCCCCAGCGGGCACTGCCCCCTCCCCCTCCAGGGACTCCAGCTGCCCAAAAAGGCAGGGAAGCAAAGCCCCCTCCTCTACTCCTGGCCTGGCATGCCGGGGAAAGCCAAGGTGTCGGGGTGCCCCTGCTGTGCCAACAGCCCTCTCGGATCCTGCCCCCAGGGCTGCTGCTGCTGGTACACAAGGCCCCCTTGGTAGAATTCCACTACACCCCTCCCTCCTTTCCTTCCCCCCCCCCCCAGAAAACTGGGAAAGGAATTGATTTCAACTGATGCTTCCGCTCGGGCAACACCTTTGAGCGGCACAAAATGGGCGCATCAGAACGTCATCGCCATAACAATGCCCCCGGGCCTCTCTTCCACCCGCTGGGGCTCCGGGTCCCCACAGCGGCCCCCAAATGCCTACCTTCTGTGGACAGGACTTGGATCTCTTCGTTTTCCAGGCCGGCTCTATCAGCAAAGTCTCTGAAACCATCCAGGGCCGCCTGAGTGTCCTCCATATCGGTGACTGTGGAGAGAGAGAGAGAGCTCAGTGGGCCCCCGGCCTCTTTCCACCCGTGGGGGTGGGGTTGGGAGGGGCACAGACGGCTTCTGAGAGGACCCTCAAAGGAAGGGGCTCCTCTTGAGGGGCACAGCCCTGCTTGCAAGTGGCACCCTTGATCGAATGGAATCAAGGGGTGTCCTCAAGAGTTGAGAGTCGGGGGGCCCGGACGAACGTCGGCTTTCGGGTGACAACCAGAGGACACACAGACGTGAGTCTGAGCTCAGTGTCAGGACTGGGGTCAAGGGGGAAATGAATG